TTTGTACTGTAAACATGAAAAACAAAAATAGTATTTTTCACTTTCACCTCGTAGAAGTACTGTAGTGCAATCTCTTCATCAGGAAAGTGTAACTAAGAAACATAGATTAATTTTTGTATATAAGTTGTGATGGGGCAAGGCCAGATGGTTACAGTAAAGTAGTAAGGAACAGGTATGTTAGTCCCAGGCTAAACAAATCCCTGGTACCATGGTAACCAAATGGCAGTTGCTCCTGGTTAATCAAGACACCTGGGGCCAATTAAGATCCTTCTAGAATGCAGTGGAGTTAGCTAGATTGATTGGGACACCTGAAGCCAATCAAGGACTGGCTGGAACTCGTTAAAAGCCTCCCAGTTAGTCAGTGAGGTTTGGGTGTTAGGAGCTATAGGAGGGAGCTGTGCTGTTGGAGGAATGAAGCAGTATGAACCCATATCAGGTGCAAGGAAGGAGGGCCTGAGGTAACTGTGAAGGAGATATTGAGTGGGGGCTGCTGTGGGGAAGTGGCCCAGGGAATGGTACACATCCTATTTCCAAAAAGTCAGCTACCATAGCTGCTAATTTTAGGGTCCCTGGGCTGGAGCCGGGAGTAGAGGATGGGCCTGGGCTCCTGTGATGAACTGGGACTGTTCTTAATGTGGCCTTTGAATGCTGAGTGGGCAGTGTTGGCCTGGGAAGGCAGGGGAGTGTGGCTAGGATGGTCTGCATTGGGGGATGGGAGACTGGCCTTGAGGGAGGATACCTGAGCATGTAACATGAGAACCCAGGAAGGGGTTAGAGGCCAGGTGACACCTTTGCCCAGGAAACTGAACAAAGGCTGGGGGAGGAGACGCTGGGGGAGAGAGAGTTTCAGGATCTGGCTGGTAATGGAGGTAGCCCAGATGGGGCTCTGCCCCCCCCCCATGGGGCTGTGGTGCCCCTGGGACCCCAAGATGGATCTAATTGGGGGGGTCCTGTTGTCTGTGCCTGCAAGACCTGTCTTGAACTGTGTTCCTGTCGTGTAAATAAACCTTCTGCTTTACTGGCTGGCTGAGAGTCATGGTAAATCGCAGGAAGCCAGGGGTGCAGGGCCTTGTGTCTCCCCACACTCCGTGACAGCTCCCCACTCCCCTCCCTGATTAATCACTGAGACTAGGAGACAACAGAGACTGTGCAAGAGAGGGTTGCTTCTCCTCACCTCCATTGTTGGCTTATGATGAAAATGGCTCAGTAAGCTGTGACCCTTGCCTCTAGAGAGAGAAGGGCTACGTGGAGGGTCACCGTGAGCCTCTGAGGCTAGCAAAATCCGCCAGGAAACGCAGGACCCATGGAGTCAAGGACAGAACTTTGTCACAAGGTGCACTGAAAAATAAAGCAATTAAAAACTTTATAGCCTAGAAGTCAACTCAGTGCTACTTCTTTTTCTGCTATTTGCTAAGACAAAAAAGTTTGTTTACATTTACGAGAGATAATGCTGCCTGCTTCTAATTTATGATGCTGCCTGAAAGTGCGAGGAGGAGTTTGCATGGCACATTTGTAGCTGGCAGTGCAGATATTTATGTGCAAGATATGCAAAACATGCCTATGTCCCTTCGTGCTTCGGCCACCATTCCCGTGGACATGCTTCCATGCTGATGATGCTCATTTAAAAACAATAATGCATCAATTACATTTGTGACTGAATTCCTTGGAGGAGAATTGTATGTCCCCTTTTCTGTTTTACACACATGCTGCCAAACATTTCAGAATATAGAAGTCACGGATAATGACCTAGCATATGAGGGGACACTTTCACTGCAGAATTGACAAAATGCAAAGAAAGAAACTATCTGAGATTTCTAAAGATAGCTACAGCATTTGGCCCAAGGTTTAAGAATCTGAAGTATCTTCCAAAATCTGAGAGGGATGAGGTGTGGAGCATGCTTACAGAAGTCTTAAAAGAGGAACATGCTGATTGGGAAACTACAGAACCTGAACCACCAAAATAGAAATCAACCTTCTGCTGTTGGCATCTGACTAAGTTGATGTAAATGAGCACATATCGGCCCACTCTGCTTTGGATCATTATCGATTAGAACCCGTCATTAGCGTGGAGGCGTGTCCTCTGGCGTGTCCTCTGGAATGGGGGTTGAAGCAGGAAGGGACATATGACTCTTTAGCGCATCTGGCACATAAATAACTTGTGATGCCGGCTGCAATAATGCCACGTGAATACCTGTTCTCACGTTCAGGTGACATTGTAAACAGGAAGCGGGCAGCATTGTCTCCTGCAAATTGTAACCAAGCTTGTTTTTTTGAGTGATTGGCTAAACTAGAAATAGGACTGAGTGGAGTTGTAGGCTCTAAAGTTTTACATTGTTTTATTTTTCATTGCAGGTATTTTTTTTGTACATAATGCTACATTTGTAAGTTCAACTTTCATGATAAAGAGATTGCACTACAGTACTTGCAGTTGGTGAATTGAAAAATACTATTTGTTTTGTTTTTTACAGTGCAAGTATTTGTACTAAAAAATACAACATGCTCACTGTACACTTTGTATTCTGTAAAAACAACGAGGAGTCCTTGTGGCACCTTAGAGACTAACAAATTTATTTGGGCATAAGCTTTCATGGGCTATAACCCACTTCATCAGATGCATGGAGTGTATTCTGTGTTGCAATTGAAATCAATATATTTGAAAATGTATAAAACATCCAAAATATTTAAATAAATGGCATTCTATTATTGTTTAGCAGCACAATTAATCATGATTAATTTTTTAATCACTTGACAGCCCTAGAAGATAGTAATTAAAGTAGTCTATATTTACGTATGTCTTGTTATAGATTAACAGTGTAACCAAAGGGTTCCTGTCTAGGACTGTATTTTGTTAATTCAGAAGTCAAAAGGAAATATTAACATTTAGATGAAACTTGGGTGTAATAATGTCATTGTGTGTATGTGTAATATAAATATATATATTTAAAGTTTGTGGTAAACTGTCTATGAATGGCTTTATGGATAATTACCTTATGTTAATCCATGTAGTTTTATTACCTTTGATGTTTGGGAAATAGGAGGTTACTTCCAAAACCTATTCTTCACCCAAGGACTGCCTGCTGTCGAGAGGCGGCAAAAATGTCTATATAAACTCTTGGGACCTGATCCTTTTATCTCCGATCTTCTTAAGCTTTATTCGGGGGAGTTTGAGTCGTAAGACTGAGATCTCCAGTCCCTTCTGGACTGCCCTGATATTGAACATTTGGACATTGGACTAGAACGTGATGAAATGATTCTGAAAAGGACTCTCTTCAATTCTAACGTGCCATCTCTATGGTGAAACTGACCTAAGGACTCTATTCGCGTTTGTATGTCTAATGACCTTTTTGCCAATACTGTCTTTTCTTCTTTTAATAAATCGTAGTTTCATTAACAAGAATTGGCTGTAAGCGGGTATTTTGGTAAGAACTGAAGTATCATTAACTTGGTGGGTGATGTGTCTGCTCCTTTGGGATTGGTAGAATTCTTTATATGAGGAAGATTGTGCATCAGAATCTGAGGACATTTTCCCACATCAGGTATCATTAAAGACTTGCCTCTGGTGCCACTCTGTGAAATCAGTTATTTTGTGATAGCATCTCCCATACCATGAAGGGTTTACAGAGCTGAATGATGCATCATGCCTGTGCCAGGGAACTTTCAGTGGAATTAGTCTGTAATTAGAATCAAAAGTTATTACCCATTAAACTTGACAGCAATTCCCTACCTTGTACTCCTGGGCAGCCCCATCTATGGGAACCGTGTGAGCTCTTTGAGCCCAGGACAGATGGCAAACCGGACGGATCAATGCTCTTCACAGAACTTTTGGAGCCTCCTGGTGTTCGCCACACACCATGTTCTCTCCTGCCTGGAAACTCAGCTGATTGGCAATTTTTACCATGTTTGCCAGCTGCTTGTTGTGCCGAGGTTTCCCTGTTGCACAGTTTCTCTGCACTGAGGGTAGGAGGCGGCTGTATCGGATCCCTCCCAGCACTGGCTGATGCAGACTTGGCAGAAATTGTGCCCAGACTCCAGAGTGACAGGTTCTGTGAAATACTCCAGACAGACGGAACATGTAGCTTCCTCCTGGAGACTTTCCACGGGGTTCTCTGCAGCCATGGCTCCCTCTGGGCACAGTAACAGGGGAAGTTTCAATGTCCTGAGTTCACACTATGCCCCACCTGCAGAAGCAACTGGGTGTTTCCCTTCCTGGTACTGACTCACTCTGTTTGCTGAGCAGGAAGGACCCAACCAATTTCACAGCCCCTCCCCTTCCCCAGGCTTTAGTGAAAAAATGTATCACTCTACAATCCGCCCCTGTGCTGGTGGGGAGGGTCACTGAGGCATCCCCCTGTGAGGATGAGCCTGGAGGAGCAGGAGCTGTGTGTCAGGAGTGATAGACTTGGCAGAATGTTTTTTTATAATATCTAATTTTGACAGACAATGTTTATTTTAAGCAATTTTTATATTTATTGATCTAAACTTTCACAGTTGCACAACAATCTAGGTTTTAAGCATTTCATTCCAATTTAAATTTTCACAGTTGTGGGAAATTATGGGAGGATCAGACAATATTTTGGTCGGACCAGAACTATTTAATGACACTAGACACTGAGATTCAAAAAGTTGAAGCTTTAGAACTGTTAAAATTGTCTGTGAGCAGGTAAATCTCCTCCCTCCCCCAGCAGCACCCCTAGGGCAATAACCCAGTGCCTCTGTCAAAGGGCTGTTATTTATTTTGAGTAAATGCCATCTGAGGACTGCAGAAGGTGCTAAGACTGTTTGAAAAGAAAATAAATGATGCACAGAAATGCTTGTTTGGTGGGGAGGGGGAATGTGTCTCTCCTCATCTTTATAGCCTGTAAGATGTTTGGGGCAGGAACCTCAGTACATGTAAGCTGCCAGCACAGATTTGTGTGTCATGTTTATTTTCTTGGGATGGTGAGCTGGGCCCACTGCCTTCTTCCCCACCTTCTGCACACATCACCCCCGCTGCTCCAGGCCTACCCAAGGCTAAAGAAGCGACGTGTGATGGAGGCATGCAGCGTCACGTGCCCCCCAGATTTCTCGAGAAGCATGTGGTGGGGACACCAAGCAGCAAGAAAGTAGCGCTCCCCCTGGCAGTAGCACTTTCCCTGCAGGTAGTGGAGGGAGGGAGGATACAGCAGAATGGCTCACTGCCAGCTGAGCTCTTTCCCCACCACATGGGGAGAGGTGGCTGAGGACCCCAGAGCAGTAGTTCTTAGAGTGAACACCCTATTGAGATCCGTGGGGCAGTTACCTCTTCTCAGAGCTATTGGCTCAGGCTCTCTGCAGACTCAGGCACACGGCACTGTATCAGTTAGGCTTGAAAGTTATAACTCACTGAAACTTTTCTTTTCAATCATATTGGCTAGCAGGTACTTTTTGGTTGCTGATTTTTTTTTTATTATGAAACCAGAAGTTCTGTTTTAATCACGTGATTCCAGAGTTGGGTCCCTAGGGAAGAACCCATAGTACCAGTGCTTAAACCCAGTCCTGTAGATATGTTCCATCAGGAGTGATTCTTCCTAAAATTGGAGGTGCCACGAGGCCCTCCCCCCTCTGTGGCCCTGCCCTGCCTGCCTCTTCCCCAAAGGCCTTGTACCCGGCCAACCCAGAAGCTGGAGCTGAGTTGGGGAGCCCAAGTCCCTCCATCTGCCTGGGGGGACCAAAGGGAAGCCCCCAGCCTATGTCCCTGCCCCCCAGGCTCCCTGCCCTGGGCAAGTGGAGGGTCTGTGGCTCCCCACAGCTGCCCACGCAGCTCTTACCATGGCCTGGCCTTGGCTTTTCAGCCCCCAAGTCCAAACCTCCACCCGGGCCAAGCTGGATAAGAGCCGCGCTGGCACCCTGTGGGGAGCCATGAACCCTCCACCTGCCCAGGGAAGGTAGAGAGTCTGTAGCTCCCCTCAGGTGCCCAGGCTCCCTGGGCTTACCCAGGACAGGCTCCAGCTTCCAACCTGGGTGGGGCCTTAGGGGGAAGAGGAGAGGCAAGGGGCCAGGCTGTGGGGAAAAGTGGGAGAGCCATTCAGCAGAGTGGGGGCTGATTTGTTCATGATTGATGTGAATGCCCTGCTGGCAGTGCCTCCCTGCATCTTGCTTCAATCCTGTGTGCGAGGAAAGTGCCTCACACGGAGATCTAGTGCCAACCTCTCCCTAATGAACAATGCGGGGTTGATAGGCTGGATGCCATCAGTGGCCAGGGCTCCCTGCACCTGCCCAGAGGAAGGAGGCTGCAGGGCAGTGGAGCCAGAGATCAGGGAGAAAATCTGGGAAACTGGGAGATTCTTTGACTCTGAGTGACTGAGTCTGAAAAGGGAAGGATTGAATTAACCTGGATCCAGAGTGTGTCCTACCTTGTATTTCTGGGCAGCCTCCTTCATGAGAAGCACCGGGTGAGATCTGTGCTTTGGGAATCTCTCACAAACCACACACACGACTTCCCCGTCCTCTTCACAGAACAGATCCAGGGCTTTGCTGTGTCTCTCACACAGATTCTCTTTTCCATCTTTGAAATGCAGTTGTTTGATTTTTTCCACTATATTTTCTAGCTGATAGTTATTCCAGAGAGCCTCTTTCTGGATTCGGGCTCTGAAGGCAGGGCTGCACAAAGGGTCATAGTTCCCCTCTGTCCATGTCTCACAGTACTGAGTGATGCAGCCTCGGCAGAAGTTGTGCCCACTGTCTATGGTCACTGGGTCCGTCAGATATTCCAGACAGATGGGACATTTGGTTTCCTCTTGGATTTCCCATACAGAAGTCGCTGAGGCCATGACTACTGAGCTCTCTGGGGCCTGGTCTACACTAGTCTCTTATTTCGGAAATAGCCGTGTTAATTAAAAAATAAATGATTCCGTCCACATGACCAAACTGGTCTTTTCAATTTAAAGGGCTCTTTAATCCAATTTCTGTACTCCACCTCAGCAAGTGGAGTAGCGCTTAAATTGAGATCGCAATCCCAGGTTAAAGGTATTGTGGATGCAATTTGACATTATTGGCCTCCGGGAGCTATCCCAGAATGCTCCCTTGTGACTGCTCTGGACAACACTCTCAACTCTGATGCACTAGCCAGGTGGGCAGGAAAAGCCCTGGGAACTTTTGAATTTAATTTCCTGTTTGGTCACCATCAGCACAAGTGACCATCAGCACCATCCAGCATCACAGGCAACCATGCAGAGTCCACCATCACAGGAGATCACGCAGTCCCCGATTCGCAGGTGAGCTCCATCGTGGTCTGAACAGGAGGTACTGGATCTCATCACATCTTGGAGAGATGAGTCTGTTATGGCAGAACTACGTTCCAAAAAAAGGAACGCAAATACATACGCTAAAGTCTCCAGGGCTATGACGGAAAGAGGCTACTCCAGGGACACAGAGCAATGTTGTACAAAAATCAAGGAGCTCAGGCAAGCATACCAAAAAGCCAGGGAAGCAAACGGGTGCTCTCGGTCACAGCCCCATACATTCCGCTTCTAACGTGAGCTGCACGCAATTATGGGGGGTGACGCCACCACTATCCCACCACTGTCCGTGGACACCTGCAAGGGGAGAGTTGCATGGAGTGAGAAGGAAGAGTTATTGGAGGACGACGAAGAGGAGGAGGAGGAGGACAGTGCACAGGCCGCAAGTGGGGAATCCGTTTTCCCCCCTAGCCAGGAACTATTCTTAACGCTGGAGCCAATAGCCTCCCCCACTCCCAAGATGGGCTCCCAGACCATGACCCTGGAGAAGGTACTTCTGGTGAGCGAGAGCCTGATCGGATCCACGTGGTGGGGGGTGAGGGGGAACCCATCCATGCTGGGTTGTTCGCGTTTAGTGTAAAGGGCTCATCCCTGCTCTGAGCCTCATCAGAGCCATGCGGTGGGTGCGGGGTGTGTGTGGGGGGGGTGTGAAGTGATCATCCCAGAGAGCCCACAGGCCCTCCTTTTATATGGCAAACCCACCAGGCATTGCTTGCTATGGGAAAGGGGGACCAGCAGTTTGAAAACATTGAAATGAATGTAGAAGAAGCAGAACCCCACATGCCCCTAGGCTGCCTGCAAGCTGAATTCTGTTGCCCGGCCGTGTGTAATGGCTTACTCATACCAAAGTGTCCCCTTTGTTCTCTGAAATGTATATTTTAAAATACTACTCTCCCTTTTTCTCCTCCCGCAGGTGCAAATGTTTCAATGTGGCCCCTATCTACTCCGTCCAGAGGCTGGTCCAGATTAGAAGGCAGAAAAAACGAACTCGGGACGACACGTTCGCCGAGCTCATGCAGTCCTCCTGCACTGATAGGGCCCAGCTGAATGTGTGGAGGCAAACAATTGCGGAGTCCCGTAAAGCATTACAGGAACTCGAAGAGAGGAGAGACGCATGTGATGAGAGCAGGCAGGACGCTATGGTCAAGCTCATGGGGGAGCAAATTGACATGCTCTGCTGTATGGTGGATCTAATGCGGGAAAGGCAGCAAGACCACAGACTGCTGCTGCAGCCCCTGTATAACCGCCCTCCCTCCTCCCCAAGTTCCATAGCCTCCTCACCCAGACACCCAAGAACATGAGGGGGGAGGCTATGGGGACCCCCACACTCAACCCCAGAGGCTCACCCAAGCAGCAGAAAGCTGGCATATGCGAACTTTTGATTTCATTTCTGGACTTGTCCTTCCCTCCTCCTCCTCCTCCACCTCCCTAACCCAATGCCCCCCCCTTTCCTGGTCTACCTTCAGATTTCTCTCAATGTGTTGTGCAACAAATAATAAAAAACAGTTTTTTAAAAAATTTGACTTTATTTCCTTTCATATATAGAGGGGGCGGGTACTTCAAGAGAAACAAACACAACTGTCACACAGTACCCTGGCCAGTCATGAAACTGGCTTTCAAAGCTTCTCTGATGCGCAGCGCATCCTGCTGCGCTCTTCTAATCGCCCTGTTGTCTGGCTGTGCGAAACTGGCCGCCAGGCGAGTTGCCTCAACCTCCCACCCCGCCATAAATGTCTCCCCCCTTACTCTCACAGATATTGTGGAGCACACAACAAGCAGCAATTACAAGTGGAATATTGGTTGTGCTGAGATCTAACCGAGTCAGTAAACCGCACCAGCGCGCTTTCAAACATCGAAAAGCACATTCTACCACCATTCTGCACTTGCTCAGCCTATAGTTGAACTGCTCCTTACTGTCCAGGGTGCCTGTGTACGGCTTCATGAGCCATGGCATTAAGGGGTAGGCTGGGTCCCCGAGGATAACTATAGGCATTTCAACACTATGCAATCCCACCAGTCTGTGCTTGTTTCCATGGCCCAGAATCAGTGTTCCATGGCATGAACCTGGCCCAATGCCACCATGCTCTCCCAATTGCCACATGCCATGCTTCTAGGAACATCTGTGTCCATGTCCTCATCAGTATAGTAATCACGCTGTCGTCGCTTCCTCACCCAGTTTTGCAGGTACTGCACATATTGCTGGATAATGTGTGAGGTATTTACAATGGTCAAAACTGCAGCAGCGATCTGAGCGGGCTCCATGCTTGCTGCGTTATGGCGCCTGCATGGGTAATCCTGGAAAAAGGGTGCGAAACGTAGGAGAGCTGTTCGGTTCAAGGTGGCCAATAAAAGGCAGGAAATGATTGTCTTCTGTAGCTTTCACAGGGTTGGGAAGCTCGCTAGAGCTGCAAGAGCGGGAGAGCAGAGTTTGCGGTGGAAACTGTGCTGTTCAGTTCACGATGGCTGAAAAAACAGCGGGGAATTGTTGCTGTCTGTAGCTTCCACAGGAACCCAGGACCGACCTCATGGAAAAAGTGGCAGAAGCTGTGCGGCTTAGTTCACGATGGCCGAAAAACGGCGGGGAATTGTTGCCTTCTGTAGCTTGCATGCAAGCCCAGGACAGACAACATGGAAAAATTAGCTAGCGATGCAAGAGTGGGAGAGCAGAGTTTGCGGTGGAAGCTGTGCTGCTCGGTTCACGGTAGCCAAAAAAAAGTGGGAAATGGTTAGATAAAAGAGTAGATAGAAAGATGAGAGGACATGTGAGGTGGATTCATAGTACCAGGAGACAGGCGGTGCACCGTACTGCACCATCTGCTGGCAGTATGGCATCTGCCGTAGCTTTCACGGAGGGAGGAGCGAGTGATGGCACACACCCAGAAACACCCTTGAGAATGTTTTTGCCCCATCATACACTGGGAGCTTAACCCACAATTCCAATGGGTGACGGGGACTGCGGGAACTGTGGGCTAGCTTCCCACAGTGCACTGCTCCGACATTTGATGCTAGCCTCGGTACTGTGGATGCACTCCACCAAATTCATGCACTTTAGTGGGGACACACAACACCGAATGTATAAAATCACTTCAGAAAATTCGAATAGAATAAGTTTGAATTAATTTTGTACTGTAGAAGTACCCTGTGCTTCTGTTCTCTCTGCATCAGAAATGGGTTTGCTGATAACTGGAGCTCACTGTGGCGGTGCCCCCACCTACTATCAGCTGCACAGGTGCAGAATGAGGTGAAGAGAAAGAAGAGGGCAGGAGGAGGAGCTGGAGAAAGATAAGTGTAAGCCAAGTCAGGATGAGCTCTACCCTGACATCTGGTGGTGAATTGTGGCAAGTTGTGGAAAAGAAGGTGCTGATCTTGTTTGCATAGGCACACTCACCCCGCCTAGCATGGGCCCACAGCAGCCCAAATGGTCACTTTGGCTGCTGTGGGATCCCCAGTTTCTCTGTTATTGGGGCAGGAAGAATAAAGTGTTTTTATCCTGATTATGTGAATCAAGGACAGTGGAACTATTTTATGACAGAGGGACTCACCATCAATTAAGTAGCACTTGCTAGACAAGGGACATGGGTTCCAAAACCCAGTGAATTGAGAGAGGCACTTGTCCTGGGTGGTGTGGGCTGGGCTGTGTTTGAGGGCCTGAAATGCCAACTGCACTTCTCCTTCTTTCCACTGTGGACTATCAGAGCTATTTTTGATCCTATAAGGAGTCTAGTTACAGGCCGCTGAGCTGAATTCACTTTGGACCAATGGTGCACCAGCACTGAGGCTGAAATCATTGAGTGTTGTGTTAAGTAGGGGGGCTGATGATCTCTGATGGAGTAGAGCAGTTCCCAGGATGGCTGGTGGAGCGGAACAGAGCGGAGTGGCTGGCGGGATGGCTCACGGTGAAGGCTGCAGCAGAACCCCACAGAGAGGTGGGGCAGTCGGTCTTGGACCATGTAAGGTGTCCCTTAACACGCCTGACTCCCCGCCCCCCTCCACCCAGGGTAGGAGGTAAAACTCTGCAGATAAGCTTTTGACGTCTTGGGCTGCACTGACCAGGGACAGAGACTTTTGGGACTTTGGGGGATTTTTGGGTTGCTGGACTTAAGACCCTGAGGGGAAAAGGATACTGCCAAACTTACTTGGGGCTGGATCTTTTGTTCATGGTTTGTGTTATGAATTCTGTTTGTGGTGTTTCCCCAACATAATGCCACATCATTTCCTTCCTTTATTAAAAAGATTTTGCTGCACTCAGACTCCTTGCTTGAGAGAAGGGAAGTATTGCCTCTTAGAGGCACCTAGGGGGTGGTATGTAATTGTCCCAGGTCACTGAGTGGGGGCTCGAGCCGGTTTTTTATTGTGTTATTGAAACGGAACCCCTAGATCAATGTTTCCCAAAGTGTGGTATGCGTACCCCTGGTGGTACCTGAAAAGGTTCAAGGGGTACGCAGCAGAATTTTTTATTTTACTTTATCATAGGTTTTTTTTAGCAGCAGAAAACAATTCGCTAAAATTTAATATATAAGAATGGTGTACAC